TTCAGAAACTGATGAAAGACGTGTGATGGTGCAGATGGGGAGTAAAAGTAGACTTCAGAAACTGATGAAAGACGTGTGATGGTGCAGATGGGGAGTAAAAGTAGACTTCAGAAACTGATGAAAGACGTGTGATGGTGCAGATGGGGAGTAAAAGTAGACTTCAGAAACTGGTGAAAGACGTGTGATGGTGCAGATGGGGAGTAAAAGTAGACTTCAGAAACTGATGAAAGACGTGTGATGGTGCAGATGGGGAGTAAAAGTGGAGTTAAGAAACTTCCTTCTGTAAGTGTGTGGCACTGTGCTAATCAGAGATCAGAACTGTCGGTCGGTGACACTGTAAAATCTGTCTCAGGGATCAACAGATTTAAAACGTTTATTGATAAACTTTATGTCTTGTATCACGCGTCGCCTAAAACTATCAGAGAACTGAAAGTGTGCGCGAACTTGTTGGAGATTAAACTTTTAAAAACTGGCCAAATTTTAAACACTCGGTCAGGAGGCATCTAGTTTTCGGTGAGTTTCAGCTGTTTGGGAAAACTATGAAGTGTTAGTGTAACTTATCGAAGAAGCGAAACGTGATTTGACAAGAGACAAAAAGAGCATCGTGCATATGAGGGATTACAACGAAAAATTACAAGCACAGAATATCTATTGGATCGAAGATTGATGTGTGATACTCTCCAATGATTATCGGAATTGAGTTTGGAATTACAAGAGTGAGATATAGACATGTACGAGGCGGATCAAAAGAAAAAAAAACATCTTTGAAGAAGGACGAATGGTTCCAGGCCCAGATTATAAAAATGTCGCTTAAGCCGCCATAAAGCTTCACTTCCGGTGAGTTTCTCTTTACAGCAAAGATTGCAAAAAGGATGCTCCGATTAATCCAGAATCTTTTTACAGAACCTTAAAAAAGTCGTTAAAAAATTGTTTGTTTAATGGTGAAGATGGCGATGTAGCCCAGTGTGCAGGCGGCTTCCTTGATTGGCCTGAAACATTGGCCTGAAAATGTTCATGATGGAGGTCAGGAATATGATATGGAATACGGTTCGTAAATTTTGTCAGTAGTTGATTGAAAAGACGGTTACAGAAAAAAAAAAAAAGTGCAGCATCTGGGTGCTATTCCCATTTCTTCCAGTGAATGTGAACGAGTGTTTTCACAGATGAATTTGACTGTCACCCAAACCAGAGCTTCATTGGTGAAAAAAAAAGAAAGAAGAACGTTTCGGCACTTTTGTTTATTAAACTTGTTGGATCTCCCTTTCCACGCTTTGACCCTCCCCCCCCCCCCAAAAAAAAAGAGTTATAGCTGCTTCGAAAACGACACTCAGCAGTTGACACCAAAAGCAAGGAAAGAAATCGGGATGTTGCGTCAGATGAGAACATGATTGAAATATGGAGTTTTCCATATAAAGATAATTCAGTATGTTTTCATCTCTTAGCTCACTATATATATATACATGTATGAGTACCAGCGCCATTTTGTTTTTAACAAAAGAAGCACTGAAACTTGTAAGGTATACTTGAACTACTTAGTAGTTTACAACTAGACAAATATTTGACTTATTTTAAGACTGGATCCAACTTATATATTTTAAATTTGTATAATTCCTAAAATAGATTTAAAAAATTGTGATAATTCTAATTCTAAATTATTTTATCTTTTACCAAAAACAAGCTCTTAATAAAATAATAAAAACCACTTCGTGAACCTGGAAAAAAAGAAGTACATTTACAGAAAATATCTGTTTTGTACCAGTTTAAGGCCCGGCATGGCCACCAGGTGGTTAGGAGACTCGACTCGCAATCTGCGGGTTCGAATCCCCGTCCCACCAAACATGCTCGCCCTTTCAGCCGTGGAAGCGTTATAATGTGACGGTCAATCCCACTATTCGTTGGTAAAAGAGTAGCCCAATCTGCGGGTTCGAATCCCCGTCCCACCAAACATGCTCGCCCTCTCAGCCGTGGGGGGCCGTTATAATGTGACGGTCAATCCCACTATTCGTTGGTAAAAAGAGTAGCCCAAGAGTTGGCGGTGGGTGG